AATGATTCTTCAAAGGTTCTCCTTCAACAAGGTGTCTCCCATGTTCAAATATTTGAGTATTTCCTCCAAGGATACATGTTGCAATTGATCCCTGCTTGCCTATTCTGCTGGACTCCTGTCCATGCCTTTCCATTAAGTGGCCCCAGGGGAGCTACCTGACCTGCTGGAGGTCTTCCTAACTTTCTCTTGGACTGTTTGCCTTCATCTCTCAGCCATGCTGACTAGCCCGTCTTCCCCTACTCCTGCACATTTCCCCCATATCTTGTACTCTTGTTTTTTTTTTTCCAGAGATCCTCCTTGGGGTGCAGCCTGATCACACCAACCATGTGCTTCTCTATGTTTTATGCATTTCAGTTTTCATTTCTTCAGAAAATCCCATACCTCACAGTCATACAACAACACTGGCAGAATATGGGTATTAAAAAGATGAGACTTTTTTGTAGTTTAGGGTTTAAGTTTAAAGGTGCTATCTAACCCCTTTTCCTCCTCTTATTTAATGCTACACCCAACTCATTGTTCAATAATATCATTTTGTCCCACAGATACATAATAACGGATAAGGTCTATAGTTTGTCCGTTGACTGCATCTTGTGTTCTGGGCAATGGACATTCTTCATACTTGGTCTTTCTTGTGTAGAAGGTCAAGCCAAATTCTTTTGAGTGGTTATAGATCTTTTTTAGGAAGTTCTTTGATATCCTGGGGCTTTATGCAACCAGCACAATTTTATGAACAAAAAGAAGACTTCGTTATTCTCAGGGAATCCATTTTCAACTTAAACTCTGAAATGGACCTTTCCATCAGAAGTCATAGATGGACAGTGGCAAACATCTCTGGTGAACATACATCTCCCCCTTTCATATTTCACTTGATATTTATGATCAGAGGGTTGTTGAATAGGGTTATTTCTGTTGTTGTGTCTCTCAGGGAGTCCTGAATGATTTTAATATATAACTTTCTTAGAATAATATAACTTTCTTGGAAGGAGCTTTTAAAACAGCCTTTTGTTCTACTGAATCAAATGTTCTTTCATAATCAAGAAACAAGTATAGTGGAATCTTGTATTCTCTATATCTTTTGATCAAATTATGAAGTGGTAAAGATGTGTTCATTATAGGATATGGATTATGAAAGGCTACCTGCTCTCTATTAATACATACATGTGTGTAGATGAGTCTCAAAAAGATTTTTATAGATGGGGAAATAAGACCCCAAAGAGATCAAAGAAAAAGGAAGAGGATCCATATGTACAAAAAATATTTATTGCAGCTCTTTTGTAATAGCAAAGAAATGAAAACTAAAGGGGTATACATCAACTGGGGAATGACTGACCAAATTATGATATATGAATGTAATGGAATATTATTATGCTGTAAGAAATGATGAGATTGTTTCACAGAAACCTGAGAAAGCTTTTGTGAACTGATACAGTGTGAAGTCAAGAGAAGCAGGAAAACAACTTATACAATAAACAACTTTGAAAGACGTAAGAATTCTGTCAATGAAATGACCAACCACAATTCCAGAATACCAATAGCAGAGCATCCAACACTGATAGGTTGTGTGTATGGTTTGTCCTTCATTCTTGAAGAGAACCATGACATCAGGGAAGTGATGTTATAACTTACAAGTAAATTGGATTTGAGTGAGGGAGGACTGTGCAAAGTCACCAGCCTCACTCTCTCCTCCAGAGCCATGTGGGTCCAGTGGCCAGATATAGACCAGGAGGATGGGAGATGACTCAGGATACAGTGAGAGACCTTGGCCCTTTTAAGCTAAGATCTTTTCAGGTTCTCACTTTGAGTGAAGCAACATCCATTCAGTGAATAGACCTCTTTAAGAAGTGAGTCAAGGGATGGCCCCTATAATTAAAAAAATATTAAACTGAGAGAGGAAGACACCTCAGAGTTGCCAAAAGAGAAAGTTACCATTTACATTCACTCTGAGTCTGGAGGGCCCAAAAAATAGCCATTAAGTGGTGCTTAGGCAGGGACCTATTGTCCAAACCAGGAGATCAAGAGTGAATTAGGTTTAAGGCTTGGTCTTTGAGAAAGAAATCTAGCCAGTAACTCCCAAGTTAACTAGGTAGCTTTCCAGCCATCAGAATTTACCTTCCTTTGCACAGAACACCCTCAGGTAAGGGGAGAGGAGAGGAGAAGGGATGGAAAGGGAGGAAAGAGGAAGGGAGAGGAGGGAAGGGGTGGGGAATAGGGGAGGACTGGAGAGGAGGATGAACTGAGTTGCCCAGCTGGAACTGACCAGCTGGGTCTCCATTCAGGCAGCTCAGACTACTCACAGGTTGTGATTTGTCCTTCGTTCGCTAAGAGGATCATGCCATCAGGGCGATGAAGACATGACTTGCAATTGACTTTGATTTGAATGAGGAAGGGTTGTGCAAGGTCACCAGCCTCACTTTCTCCTCCGGAGCCATCTGGGTCCAATGGCCAAATATCGATCAGGATGACTGGAGATGGCCCCTCCTGACAGAGAAGCAGGTGATGGAATCAAGATATAGAATGAGACATATATTATGACATGGCTAGTGTGGCAATTTATTTTGCTTGCCTGTGTATATTTCTTTTTTGTTTTTCTTTTATTTTTCTAATGGAGGAAATGAAAGGAAAAGAGAAGCTATGGATAATATTCCTGATATACCCTCTTCAAGAGAGAGAACTGAATAGAAGAAAGGTCAGAATCAGAGACAAGTAAGGATACCTTTGAAAATTACACGTTGAATTTATTACATACCTGAAAATAAAAACAAGTGCTACATAACAGAGATTCACAATTTCATGTAAAAAAAAAGTAGGTCAATACTGTAGATGTTCTCTCATCTTAAAAATATTCATAAAGTACATGGTTTTTATGTCTTTTATATATCCCATGCATAATGTTAAAATTAAAGATTCCATGAAAAAATCTAGCAATGGAGATAACAATTCAGCAACCCTCTGGTTATTAATATGACAACAACAACAATAACTGACAATTATATAGTACTTTAAAATTTGGAAAGCTTCATGCATTATCTCATTTGAGCCTCATAAAAGCCTTTTGAATTAGGGACTACAGGTAGTATCACCATTTTACAGATAAGCCTTTTAAGAAGGTTAAGAGAAGAGGCAGAATTTGAACCCTGGTCTTCCTGACTAAGATACCAAAAGACCAATGGTGAATCATGCTTCCCACCTCTTGACAGAGAGGTGATGGAGAAGAAGGCATACATGGCCAGTATATAGATTTGTTTTGTTTACCTAAGTGTATATGCAGCAAGAGAGAGCTTTTATTATTTGGGGAGGAAGGTGAGGAGAGAAGGGTAATGATAGAGATGCCAAAAAAAAAAAGCATCAATGAAACATTTTTAAAACACACAGAATGGAGCACAATGAAGTTCAGAGAGAGCCAGACAAGTATGAGAGATAGGGAATTACTATGATAAATGCATTATATACTTAAGAAAAAGATGTACATAATAGAGATTCATAGCTTCTTACATAGTCCTCTCTAGATGGAAATGATTATAGTTGTTTGTCAAGTTTAGAATAACAACAAAAAAATGCACAAAAAGACATGTTGGCGGCAATAATAGCAAGCAGACCACCTTTACCCTATCCTACACCATAACCTCATAATCATTGTCCCATGGGCTCAGAAGGTCCCTGACTGCACTGTGCTGTAAGCCATTCACTTTCTCTTTTCTACACTCAGTGCTCACTGAACTCAAGTAATATTGCAAGTAATTCTTCCCCACATTTTACGAGTGCTCTGCTTACTTCTTCTTCTTCCTCTTCTTCTTCTTCTTCTTCCTCTTCTTCTTCTTCTTCTTCTTTTCTTCTTCTTCTTCTTCTTCTTCTTCTTCTTCTTCTTCTTCTTCTTCTTCTTCTTCTTCTTCTTCTTCTTCTTTTGCTTTTTGCTAGGCAATCAGGGTTAAGTGACTTGCCCAGGGTCACACAGCTAGTAAATGTTGTGTGTTATGTGTCTGAGACTGGATTTGAACTCAGGTCCTCCTGACTCTATCCACTTTGCCACCTAGCTGCTCCCTCTGATTACTTCTTGATGCCCCTAAAGGCCACCTAAAAAATTATAATCAATTGTTTACATTTCCAGCCATCCCTATAGCTATAAAAGCTGAGGTAGAAATCTTACCCTGCACGAGTCAAATATGCATCTTTCTTCCCCAACCAACCTCACAGCATCCCAATTTCCTAACACAGAGTGTCTAGTTTTAGTGTTATTCACAGACTTCTCCTGCACCTTGAAAGTAAATTCAGAGTTCCTAAGTTAACCTGGGCAAGTCGTTAACACATTCATGGAAGCTTGTGAGATGTAGTTTTCAGTGGATACTAATACACACCTAGAATGTGCCTTATAGCAGCGGTATCTGCTGTGTGCCTGGGTAGCAGGGGGTCCCATATGAGAGAGGCACCCTGGGTGCTACACATCAATAAAATTCAATTTAACAAGTGTGTGTAAGCATTTCCTGTGATCCAGGCACTGTGGTAGGTGTTGGGGATATAAATACAAAAATGAGGCATTCTATGCCCGTGAGGAGCTTAAATTCTATTGAATGTTATCTCATATAATATTATCCTCATTTTACATATGAAGAAAAAGGCTAAACATAGTTAAGTGCTATCCACCAATGACTAAACTTTGTGTAAACTTTGATCAAGCTATACCATGATTAGGCCCCCAGAAAGATCAAAAGAAGAAAGGACCTATGGATACATAAATATTTACACCAGCTCTTTTCATAGTAGCCCCAAACTTGAAACAAAGGGGCTGCCCACCTATTGGGCATGGCTAAATGAATTTTGGTTTATGAATGTAATGGACTACTATTGTGCCATAAGAAATGATAGAATGGATAGTTTATGAGGAAACTGGAAAGATCTCTCTGAACTGGTGCAGAATCACATGAGCAGAACCTGGATAACTATTTGTACAATTACAATATACAGAGAAAAGCAATATTGAAAGACTGTCTCTTTGATCAATGCAGTGATAATCCACAGATCCAAAGGACTTATATGAAACACACCACCTGCCTCCTGCCGGAGAAGTGTTGGACATAAGATGCAGAATGAGATTTATATTTCTGGACATGGCTAATGTGAGAATTTGTTTTGCTGAATTAAGCATATTTCTTTTTTCTGTTTTTTTTTAAATTTTATTTAGTATTTCATTTTTCTTTAACATTTGTTTTAAAATTTTCTAGTTCCAAATTCTCTCTCTCTCTATCCTCCTCATTGAAAAGGCAAGCAGTTTGATACAGCATATACCTATGTAGTTATGCAAACATTTTAGTTATGTTGTAAAAGAACTTAAGTATATTTCTTATGTGAGTTTTCTTTTTCTTTTTTTTTTTAAACAATTGTTCAACTGGGAAGAGACAATGGGAGGGAAAGATAAATGTTTGCAAAAAATATATATATTTTATATATATATTTGAAGACATAGTTAAAAAGCAATAGAACAGATATTTGAACATGGTCTTTTCATTATGCTATGGTTTGGTACTTATAATAGAGGCAAAATTAGATTACTGTCATTTGTGGTTAGACAATCCTTTATCAGAGTTCTACTATGTTTAACCACATAGTTATCTCATTTATAAAATGGGGATATCTGCTTTGCCGACTTCACAGAGATATTATTAGGTTCAAATGAGATAATGTGCATTAAAGTGCTTTGAAAATTGTGAGGTGCTAAAGGGATGTAAGATGATATTGTTATTACTGTGAATATTTAATAAACAAAATTATTAGTGATACATGCTAATTATACATAAGAAGCTAGTAGTTCATGCAAACAACTATAATTAGTATGACTGTTACAGAGGCAAATGAAATTTCTACAGATATTTCTTTTATTGCTTTGCTAATTTCTCATCATCTGCCAGTTGTGAATTGACCGTTTTCCCTGATACCATGTAAATTTTAATCATCATGACATCCAAAAGTGGGCAAAGGAAATAGGACAAAGATGCTGGACAAACACACTGTCATAAGGACTGTCATAAGTCAGGATTGAAGCTGACTACCATCTCCCTTCATAGTCAGTACTCTGAACCCAAGAGTCTTGGGAATAGCAATGTTTCTAGGCTGGAGGCCTCAGATATCATCCTGCAAAACAATGGGATGCAGTCTAGCAATTGCTTCTGCAGGTTCTACGGAAATGTCTACTGAAGAACCAGATTTTGTCACCAAAATCCTTTACACTGTCAAATGGTTTGGCATCAGAAATCGATTTGTTTTTATCAGTGGAAATGAAATTAAAGAAGAGGTATCACCCACCATCTGCTTTGCTGCTGCATTCTAAGGTCCATGGGACCTTTCCGTCTGAATTAAAGCTGAAACCTTCCATATATACTGTCTCTTCCATTAGAATGCAAATTCCTTGAGAGCACAGAATGTTTTTTTTTCTATCGGTATGCTTTATGCATAGTTAAGTGCTTACTAAATGCTCCATTCATTCATTCACTGAAGCTCCCATATGTCCTGTGGTACCCATATACATCTAAAGGGCCCTATTGTTCCTCATACATGTTTGGAGGAAGGGATAAGAGACCTGAGCCCAAGCAGAGGTTTTTAACAGAATCTGGGAGCTGGAAGGATACTTAAAGAAAGCATCTAGTTCAGTACCTTAATTTTAGAAATGAGAAAACTGAGGTCCAGCAAGGTCCAATGAATTGCCTAAAGTTAAACTAGACTCCTTGGTTTCAATAGTTTAGTGTTCTGAGAGAGTTCAGAGTTTGTGTGGTACAGTGTAGTGTAATTAGCTAGCACTATGGTTAAGGGTCAGAGATATCCGGCTTTGAATCCCAGCCCTAGTACTTTTCAACAATGTGGTCTTTGTCACTTTCCCTATCTGGGTCTTGGTATCGTCATCAATATAATGAGAGGGTTGGACTAGGTGGCACAGTGGCTGGAGCATTGGGCTTGGAATCAGAAAAACTTCCTGACTTCAAATCCAGCCTCAGACACTTACTAGCTGTGTGACCCTGGGCAAGTCACTTAACCCTGTTTGCCTCAGTTCGTCATCTAGAAAATGACCTGGAGAAGGCAAAGGAAAACCACTCAAGTATCTTTGCCAAGAAAACCCCAAATAAGGTCACAAAGAGTAGGACATTACTGAACAGCAATAGGGTCCTTTCAGTGCCTATAAATATCACAGAAAACTGTTTTCTGCCACTTTGGTAAAAATTTAAATGTATACTATTCAGAACAACAAACATTAAGGTTTTGTGATTAGATAGCAAACCTGTGTATGTATATATGTGTGTATACATTTGGCATGTATATATATATATATATATGAATATATTTGGAGATATATATACATATATATTTGGATATATATATATGTTGCATGCAGTTTTCCTCCAAAACATACATATGTACATGTATGTATGTTTTGGGGAAAATTGCATATATATGTGTTTGGGGGAAATTGCATATATATATTTTGGGGGGAAACTGCATACAACCCACAAGTGCTTTACATCAATTACATATTACAAATGGCAGCATAAACTGGTGTGATGATTAGGGCTCCATTTTCACTTCATGTTTTAGATTTCTTTTAGTCCTGTGCAGCAGCAATTGCAAAAGTAAAAATATATAACCTTCCACCTCCCTTTCGTAATAATGTTCATAGGAGCTTAAACCATGACCAGCATGTGGTCGGGACACTTCCTGGAGGCTGAGGGCTCACGAAAGGGAACTCCAGGGCCCGCGCCCGCCGCAGTGCCGCTGGAGCCTAGAGCCCAGGGTACTGGGGACCCGTGTCTGGCATCCAGGTCCAAGTCGGTCCAACCAGGCCGGGCTGCCACGTTCAAGTCAGCGCGTTCTGTTGCCATGGTGACCAGCAGGCCACTTCCGGCCATTCCCCCCGGCCTCGGTTCTCTCGTCCCCTCCCTCTTCCCTGCAATCCCTTTGCTCTCCGCTCACCATAGCAACCTCCCGTAGCGTTCCGGAAGTAGGGCTCGGGCTGGCCTCGGAGAGCGGAGCTGGGCGGCTGCGGAGGCAGAGCGGCAAGCAGCTATGGAGAGGGTTTTGCAACGCGAGGTGAAAGGCGCAACGCCAGGTGTAGTGGCGTTGGTGAGTTTGGGGCTTGTGGGTCCTGGAACCGTTCAGTGACAGCTCCATTTTACAGATCGGGGGACTGGCACACTGTAAGTGGCAGTGCCCCGAAAGAACCCCGAGTCTCCTGACTCCTAGAGCCAGGGCAACTGCCACGGGGACACCCTGTCGCCTAAAGTATTAGGAAACTTTGAAGTCGATAGAGTGACGGATGTGGAAACAGAAAGACCCGAATTCTGCCTCAGATTCTTGAGCAAGGCACTTAACCTTTCTCACCCACAGTCTCTTCATCTCTAAAATGGGGATAATAGCATCTACTTCATAGGTTGTTGCGGGAATAAAACAAGATAATGTCCAATAATGTCCTTTTTTTCTTTCTCCTTTTTTCTTTCTTTCTTTCTTTCTTTTTTTTGCATCTTGCCTATCTGATGGGTATGATGTGGAAACTCGAAGTTGTTTCAATCGCCAGTTCCTTTTTTATTAGTGTTTTTTGAAACTATCTTGCATTTCTTTTGAGACTGATTTGTATGCTTTCAGTTTTGTTTGTCTCGTCTTTGATTTTCAGAATTTTTATCTTTGTTATTGGTGTTTTAAATTTTTTTTTAATTTCTAGGGTTGTTTTTTTTTTAAGTCACAGGCCCAATTCATTGATCTCTTCTTTTTCATCAAGAATAATTCTAGGAAAGCTACTTGGAGAAGGTAGACCAGCAACTTGGAAAGACATTTCTTTTGTTACAGGACGGTGTTTAATATCTGGAGCTAGAAGAAATCAGATTACCAGGTTCCTGTATAGTCAGTGTGATGTAGAGGAAAGAGAAAAGGCTTTGGATTACAATCCTGCCTTTGTTGCTTACTGCTTATGTGACTTTAAACAAGTCACTTAAGCTCTGTGGGCCTCAGATTTTTTTATCTATTCAGTGAAAAAGTTGGATTGTATAGTCGCTGAAATCCTTAACCACTCCAAATTTATACCCTGTGATCCTCCATGTGAGTCAGAAACCCATGAATTGTGATTAATTTGTCAATCCAACCACATAGGTTAGTGACTTACAAACAGAGAAAGTGCCAAGACCTAGGGTGAGAATCAAAAGGTACTGGAAATATTCCTCCTACCACCAATCCTGCACATGCTTATCCATCACTGTAGGCTGGGAGGGAGAAACAGGGAAAAGAGAGAAGAGGTTTGAAGAAGCATGTCGATGTGGTTTGCAACCATTCTAAAGTTTGAGTGTGTGGTCAGAAATATGTGTATTGCTTGGATAAGGACAGAATTAAAGCCACTAGAAGAACTACCATAGAGTTATACCCACTCACATAATTGTCTCAAATATTGACAAATGCTTAAATGTAAATGTTTAGTGTTTGGGGGTTTTTTTTTGTGAACTCAATGGTAAACTTCCAGATTTATGCCTTTGGAACTATTCTTATCAGTCACAACAGCCATCTGCCAAGGGAAAACTACACCACTTCTGTCCATTGCAACTATTAGTAGTAACAGACTGGGAGGTTCCTCTGTAGGGCACTTAGAATTGTAAGATTTTAGAACTAGAAGGAGCCTTGTTTAGAAGCATTTTATCCACATAATTCCTCACCATCACTCCATAGGAGAAATTATGCCAGTAAGTTGTACTTTGATTACTGTTTTATATTTTATTATTATTATTTTATCAAGAGTCTATATATGTGTATCATCTATGTACAACAAATTCTAGTTTTGAATAATGTATAGTGATGTAACATAAGAATACACATTTTTAATGACTAATAATTAATAATGAAGGAAATATTTGGATAATAAAGGATTTGTCATGTCTCTAGCACTGACAAATCAACAAGTATTTATTAAGATCCTACTATGTACCAGGTACTGTTAGGCTCTGGGGATACATGGATAAAGAGTAAGATAATTTCTACTGGCAATGAGTTTATATTCTAATAAGGCAAACAACACATACATATAAAAATATATACAGCATAGATAAAAACTTGGAGCAGCTAGGTGGTATAATGGCCAGAGTGCCAGGCAAACCACTCCAGTATCTTTGCCAAGAAAACCCCAAATGGGGTCACAATGACACAATTGAAATAACCCAACGGAACACAGCTGAACTGACTTAGACACAATTGAAATGATTCAAGAACAGCAGCAGTCTGATCAGTGTTCGTAATCAATACCGCGGACTACATTCCCTCTGTGCCCCCTCACTCTTGTCCGTGTCTTCTATAAACCCTCACAGAAGAACCATCCTAAGTGTTGGGGGTCTTTGTTTAGATCTCTTGATGTTACTAGGATCCCAGAACAAGCTATATCCGTTGGTTATCTCCTGCTCCTGCCACGCAGCTTTTCCTGTCATCAGTCCTTCAAGCAACAAGCACTTATTATACATTTATAATTACACCCTCTTATGACTCTTCTTAGTTGTTAATGTATTGTAATGTATTATCCATGTAGTCAGAAGTAGGAATCTCATTAAAGAATACAACAAAGGGAAGAATAATGAGACTAGACCAAATATGAACAGAAGAACTCTTTGCTGGAATTGAGAGAATTTTGAAAACATTAAAGGATTAATTCCTTTATTGTTGAGTCATTTCAGTCATATCAGACTTTTTGTGACCCCATTTGGGGTTTCCTTTTTCTTTCTTTTTTTTTTTAGGCAATTGGGGTTAAGTGACTTGCCCAGGGTCCCACAGTTAGTAAGTGTCAAGTGTTTGTTCTGAGGCCGGATTTGAACTCAGGTCCTCCTGACTTCAGGGCCTGTGCTGTATCCACTGCGCCACCTAGCTGCCACATCTTGGGGTTTTCTTCACAAATATAATGGAGTAATTTGCCAATTCCTTCTCTAGGCTCATTTTACAGATGAGGAAACTGAGGCAAACAGGGATAAGTGACTTGCCCAGGGTCATACAGCTAGTAAGTGTCTGAGGCCAGATTTGAACTCAGGAAGATAAGTCTTCCTGACTCCAGGGCAGGCCCTCCTATCCATTGTATCATCTAGCTGCCCCATTGATTCTATTAGTAATCTATTAAACTATTGAAACTGAGGCTGGATTTGAACCCAGATCTTCCTAACCCCAGGCTTAGTGCTCTATCTATTGCACCACCTAGCTAAGTTCCCTTATGTACATTAATACCCTTCCATTAATTCCCTAGATATCTGAAAAAGGAGATATTATTGGAAAATACAGACATTATCATCAAAAAAGGTCACAACTAGAGTATTAATAACTAATGGCCCATTTGCCTGCTTTCCCATTAAAATTTTTATGAGAAAACACACACATCAAGGGCGTTCATGTCCTTGCCAAATGGCATTCTACAGCAGACATCACCTTCTGTCACAATTGACTGAAAGACCTGGAGAATGCATGATATGACAGTAATTATTGTTTGTTAGTTATTTTTTTTAAAAAAGATATTTGACTTGGTAATGCAAAATGCTATCTCCCAGGTTCTCTTCCTCCAGGGTGTCTCTAGTGCATATCAAAAACATACAAGTTTCCTTAAAAGATGTAACAGTAGAGATAGGTTTGATGCATCTTACTCATATAAAAGCAAGAAATAAAACAGGGAGACTTATTATCTCTTAAGAACAATATTCTTTAAAGTCATCCATCTCCCTATATCCAGTACATAACCTGCTCATTTTAATTTGGTTTCCCAACTGGACTCTATGAGGCTACCTGTCTCATAAGGTTCTTGAGGAAAACATTTTATAGAATTTGGTCTGATCCAGGAAGGAATGGTACCAAAGCAAGTGACAGTTCTTTGAATGAAATCCCACAAAAATGGGATTTTACTCAAATTGGTCTTCTAGAACCTCATTGGGATTATGTTGAAAGCCATAGTAAGATTAGCTAATCTAAAAAATATTCCTCAGATCTCTGAGTACCCATAATGTGTTATAGAGGCAGCATCACACAGGGGAAAGAATACTGGGTTCAGAGCCTATTCAACAGGCCTGGTTTCTCTTTGATAAAATAAGGAGCTTGGACTAGATCTCTTCCATCTCTAAAATTCTTTCATTCCAATATTATCACATACAACCAGAACCAGGACAGATAGTTGATACTGATTTAATAATTTTACCTGAGAATTTCCAGAGAACCAAGTAAGGTAACTTGAAGTATTCTAAGACTAATTACTAAATGTTAGGTTACTATCTGTGCTATTATCCATGATATCCTAACTCTAGATATGGATTGAGTTGCCACTATGAGTATTGAATCAAGGTCACAATTAAGTGAAAATATATACTTCATAGTACATTATTAATGAACTGGTTTTTCTTTGTAGAGGGCCAAGCCTCCTAAAGAGCAACATGCTGAGAAACATCTCCGTAAAATTAGACAAAATGCTTTTAAGAAAGATGCCATTGAAGCTTCCATTAAAGAGAATGAAAGGTTTCATTTGGGTGTTCAGTGGGATATGCACATTGACCGAAGTTTTATGAACAAACTTGTGCAGAGAAAAGTGGAAGATGCAATGCAAGGATTTTTGATAAATACTGAAGAAAGAAGAAAGAGGTAACCCCCCAAATTTGTAGAAACATACTGTGAATTAATGTTAAAACCCACAACGAACAATTTAAAAAGGAAATAAATTCCTTAATTTTTCTACTAAGTGATTATGTAGCAATACCTCATAATGAAGATTGTGGTTCAGAGTTCAAATCTCACAAAATTAATTCTTACCTCCTTTACAAATTTCACCCACGTTCACATGTTTTGTATCAGTTCTCCTACCAGGTTGTGAACAAAATTATTTTGTTTTCTTTCACTAATTTTTAACATTTATTTTAATTCTTTTGCTAAATATTCATTTTAGATTTTAACTTATTAATCAAATGAACTACCAGCTTGATGATTAATTATCATTTCAAGTTATTCTGAAATATGGAATTATGGAAAACTTTTTAAAAAGTTTTATTGATGCCTTTTGTTTTTTGTACTTCAGTTATTTTCCAAAATTTATTCTCCTCCCTTTGAATCTTCCCTTATGACAAAGAAAGACAGTTAAGCAAAACTATGTCTGACAACGTATGAAATATTCAACATCTGCAGCCTCTCACTTCTCTACCAAGGGTAGGAGCATATGTTTTCTCTTCTGTTCTCCAAGCCTAGATTGATCTTCACAGTTAATCTGAGTTGACTGCCTTTAAATTGTTTTGATTTATATTATTACAGTTATTCCATGGGAGAACTGTGCTGCTGATTCTTTCTCTTTCTTCAGTATCAGTTCATATATATCTTTTTATGTGTCTCTGAATTCTTTATATATATCACATTTTATGGTAAAATCATATTCCATATGGTAAAATCAAAATCCATATTCCATTCAAAACATCATATTCCAAAACCATATTCCCTTCTATTCCATATACTGCAGTTTGTTCAGCCACCTCCCCCAACTCATATGTATCTAGTTTATTTCCAGTTTTGGGTAAATTAAAAAAGTGCTGCTACAGGTATTTTGTTATATATGGGACTCTTCTTTCTGTCCTTGATGGAATAGGATCACTGGGTCAAAGCATATGAAGAAAAAAAAACATATGGAGAGTTTGGTGACTGTTCTTGCATAAATTCAGATTGTTTGTGGAAGCCTTTTTTTTTAATCCCTTAAGGCATCTTTCAGAGATCAATTAAATTCAACTGACATTTATTGTAAACCTACTATGTCCAAGACACTGTGGTATACTGTTTCAATGAGGAAAATGAATATTTCCCTCCTCTAGACACAACTCTAAGAACACATTATAATAAAATAATAAGTCAGTGGACTGCTGCCCTTTAGCAGAGCAGTTTTGACTCCTGATTTTTTTGTCTCAGGCTTCGGGAACTCCTGGAAGCTGAAGAAAATCAGTATTTGACTGAAATTGAAGCAAAGGAAAACACAGCAAAGATCAGACAAGATGAGATGAGGGAGAAAGTTCGAGTATTAAGAGAAGCAAGAGAAAAAGAAAGACAAGATTTTGTTGCTAAAAAAAGAGACCAGCAATTCAGGTAACGTGGCCCGGGAAGATGTTCTAAGTAAAATCTGAAATTGATAAGTAAAAATGCATTTATGAAGGCTCATTTTAAAGCAAATGATGGTTTACTTTTAATCAGTATCCTTAAGAAAGGAATGTTTTGAGAAGCAGTGGGGTGGTATAAGAATGCATGTACACTGGTTGTGCTTAAAAGTCTCTACATAGAACTGCCATAATTACACAGAAATAAATGAGCTGGGGGCCGCTAGATGATGCGGTGGACAGAGTACTGACCCTGGAGTCAGGACGACCTGAGTTCAAATCTTGCCTCAGACACTTGATACTTACTAGCTGTGTGACCTTGGGGAAGTCATTTAACCCCACTGCTTAGCAAAAAGAAAAAAGAAAAAAATGAGTTGCTCAGATGAGAGGTAAGGAGTTTTCTGGTGTGGTGGGGGTTTGAAAAAGTAAAATATTTTCTCACCTATGTGCTCAGAAGTGAAAACTATCTCAAGACAAGGGCAAAGGAAAAGAGGCAGTGCTGGCCTGATGTGTCCAGGCCAGACTAGACAACATAGTATGGTGGAAAGAACACTGGACTTGAATTCACCACTACTAGCTATGTGACTATGGACAAATCATTTACCTCTATGAACCTCAATGAAATATTGTACCTAAAGCCGACCTCAAAGCGCTAAATCAATGTCAACTATTCTTTTTTTTTTAAGATTACCACTCACTTTTTTAAACAAATTATTTATTTTTAGTTTTCAATATTCACTTCCATAAAATTATGAGTTTTAAATTTTCTCCCCTCTCCCCAAGATGGCATGCAATCTGATGTAGGCTCTACATATACATTCATATTAAACATACTTTTACATTGGTCATGTTGTAAAGAATTATTAGAACCAGTAGGAGGAACCACGAAAAAGAAGAAACAAAACAAAACAACAAAAAAAGAGAGCAAATAGTATGCTTCGATATGCATTCAAACTCCATAGTTCTTTCTCTGGATGTGGATAACTTTTTCCATCATGAGTCTTTTGGAGTTGTTTTAGATCCTTATTAAAATTAGTCATCACATAATGTGGCTTTTACTACATACAATGTTCTCCTGGTTCTGCTTGCTTTACTCAGCATCAGTTCATGTAAGTCTTTCCAGGTTTTTCTGAAGTTAGCCTGTTCATCATTTCTTATAGCACAATAGTATTCCATTACATTCACATACCACAACTTGTTCAGCCATTCCCCAGTTGATGGGCATCCCCTCAATTTCCAATTCTTTTCAGCAATTTTCTTGCTTTTATCGGTAGACTTACAATTAAGAAAGCAATTAGGGCAAGTCTTAGAAGTTAGTACAAGGAAGTCTGTATCAGAAGGCAATTCAGCGGGAGCCCAAAGGTAGATGTCTTGGTAGGTAGATTAGGGTTCAGTCTCCTGGAGGACTGGGGGAAGCAAGGAAAAAACCCAGCCCTGGAGGAACTGAGATACTTTGCAGGGAAAATAAGATAGGAATCTGTCTAGTTTGTAAAACTGGAGTACAAGCGGAGGGATAGCACTTGGTCATAAGGAGAATAAAGTGTAAGAAATATAGGAGGGGGCTATGAAGGGCTTTGAATGCCAAGCAGAGGATTTTACATTTGATCCTGTAGATAACAGGGAGTCACTAGAGTTTATTGAATAGAGAAGTGACATGGTAGGACTTTGGCAGGACTTTTTAGATTTTAGGGAATATATTTTAGGAAAATCACTTTGTTGAGTGAATGAAGGATGGATTGGAATGGTGAGAAACTTGAGGCAGGCAGTCCCCTGCCCAGCCCAAGCCGTCTATTGCAGCAGTCCAGGCATGGACTAACTTTCCTTAGTGACAAAGAAAAACAAATAAGAAAAACATGGGGGACAGCTGGGTGGCTTAGTGGGTAGAGCCCTGGAGTCATGAGAACCTGAATTTAAATCCAGTCTCAGACACTGTGTGACCCTAAGCAAGTCACTTAACTCCCATTGCCTAAAAAAAGAAAGAAAAAGTACAGATGGAAGCATACTATTTGCTCTCCTTTTCTTTTGTTATTCTGTTTTGTTTCTGCTTTCTCATGGTTCCTCCCATTAGTTCTAATTCTTCTTTGCATCACAACTAATGTGAAAATATGTTTAATATGAATGTATAAGTAGAATCTATATCAGATTGCACTCCATTCTGGGGAGGGGGAGGAAAGCGAGTGCGAGAAAATTTAAAACTCAAAATCTTATGAAAGTGAATGCTGAAAACTAAAAATAAATAAATATTTTTTTTAAAAAAAGGAAGGAAAGAAGAAAAGAAAAAAGATGGGCTACCAGGTCACAAGGCACTCAGGCACAGTCTCCCTTTTTTTCTTCCATTTCATTATTCAAACTGCTGGACAGAGTCAGTTTCATACCCTGCGTCTACTTTCTCATTACTTACTCAACCCATTGCAATCATCTGTGTTTCCCTACCACTCTATCTTAACTGCTCTCTACCAAGTCACCAGTGACCTCTTCATTTCCAAACCTAAATGTTTGATAAGTGTTTAACATGTTGAATATGATATTGTTGAATTTTTTTAAAGTCACAGCAGAACCAGAAACAGGCTAACTTAATGCTGAAATCCACCCAAATTGTGGACTTCTCCTGTCTCCTTTGTCTAGGGCAGACTGATACTGGAGCCTGGGGTGAAACCTGTGGGGACTGGAAAGATGATGGGATAGGACAAGTCATTAGAGGAACTATACTGAGAACAATTCTGTGAATTCAACTTTAGATATTGGGAATTGCCTTGTTCTCTACTCCTTACCTCTCATCCCTGTTTCTAGTCAGGGGCTCTTATTCATTTGATACTGAAAATAAAATTGAATTCTTTAATATTTTTAAGTGGTCTTAAGGGAACTACAAAGATAAAATCAAGTCCATTTCCCTGAAGAACTTACAATGTAGCAAGGGAGATCAGACATATACATAAATAAAAATAATTGACATTTATATTGTTTTCAGGTTTGCAAAGCACTGTATTTCCACTGTATTTGTTGTAGGACAGGCCTACCCAGACTAGTCTCCTTATAGCTTAAATTCAAGATTGGAATGAAATGATGCACTGGTAGTCTACCTAACAAGCAAAAAGAGGTTTATTAGCTGTGGCAGAGGAAGGACAGTCAACAAGGATGTGCAGTGAAGACACCACATTGATTCAGCTGAGCACAGTTCCCCTGCCTCATGAGTTGCCCGTGGTGGTCTGCTGTTCAGACACCGGTGTGTGGGACAGCGACCCCAACCCAAATTAAACTCAGAGACTTCTCAAACTGGAAAGCAAAGGTTATCTTTATTACAATCTCCCGAGATGGCTGTCTGGTCCTCCGATACGCGTGGAGAGAGAGAGACCGCCTAACAGGGGCCGCCTTATAAAAGCAAATCTCTGCCCACCATGAAAACAAGTCTCCACCCACTATCCCTTACCCCCTTAACTGGGAGGTGGGGCTTACATTCTAAGCTTGAAAGTTTCTTCCTATCCCCTTAACCGGGAGGTGGGGCTTACATTCCAAGTGCGAAATTCAAAGCCAAGGACAAATGGCTCAGGTTGGGCGTGGGGCAGGGCTTATTCTTTCTGTTAAGTGCTGAAAAACGGGGTCTGAGTGGGGGAGGATTTTGAAAGTAGTAATCAAGAATTATTTGACCCTTTGAGGAACCTTCACTTCTGAGAGTTCATTTCTCACACTACCTTCTGAACTCATTACCTTAATTACACTGAGAAGTCTTCACTGGGACATCCCATTCACCGGAGAGGAATTAGAGCTTCTCATGTGTGGTTTTTTATATTCAATGACTGGGAATCATCAGTAATCCTGTTCTTCATTCCCCAAGCCAGCAAAGTCTCCAGAATGGTTTCATTACCTTTTGAGGAAAAGAATTAGCTGAGCCCACATGGGAGGGGACTCTAACAGCTATTTCTCTGACCATATACACTATATCACTTGATCTTCCCAACAACCCTGTGGGGTAAGCACTACAGGTGCTTACATTTTACAGATGAAGAAACTGAGGCTGAGAAGTTAAATGTCTTGTCACACTGATAGTATCTTAGGTGGGAGCTGAACCTAAATACTCCCTTAATCCAAGTCTACCCTCCAAACACACACACAACAATGCCTCATACATACATAATAGGAAACAGAATATAAGCCCCCAAGGGAAACACCTACATTTTAAGGAATTGTAAGAGGAAGAAGAGACAATTTGAAGATAGAGAGGCAATGGCTAAAGAGTATGAAGAGAACCAGGAGAGTATGTTGCCATGGAAATCAACGGAGGAGAGAGATGGTATCAGAGTGGCATGAGGGTGGTTAAAAGTGTCAAATGCTATGAAGTCAGTAAAGGTGTGAATTGGAAAAAAGGTCATCAGCGTATGGGTGACCTTTGAGAGAACAAAACAGTAGAGCAGTAGTGACAGAAACCTTATTGTAGAGGATTGAGAAGTGAATGGATCTTGAGGAAGTGGAGGAAGGAAGTACAGACTACTTTTCCAGGAGTTTGGCAATAAAAGGTAGGATAGAGATGCCCTACAGGAAAAAAGAATGGGATAGCAATGGCACAGCACCATGATAGTCAACTATCAATAGGTTCAGCTGTAGCCACCTTTTATATTAGCCCTAAACAGAAATAATGAGCTTGAAACTAGATAAACCTACCTACACAAGGATCTTTTGGAGCTCTTGATCTGATTGACCACTTTCTATTATTGCTGGGAAATTACTGCAGAATTACTCCTGCCCCCATCCCTACCTCTGACCCAGACAGATACCTGCCTATGTCTCTAGGGAGTGAGCTGAAGTGTCCAGCCTTTACCAAAGTGGTGACTAGTGCTCCAGATTAATCTTGTTAGAATATGTTTACTATGGTTCTAAGACCACTTCATGTCAATAGTAAAAGCAAGTGATGCTTACTGGGGAAGAGCTAGTACTCCTTCAACAGCTGGTTATCTTCCATGTACTTGAAGACACACCTAAGTGCATTCATTCATTGAG